TAGACAAAGGATGGTTTCTCATTGTTATCTTTTTTAACTGTTAGACAGAGGATGGTTTCCCATTGTTGTCTTTTTTTAAGTGTTAGTGTTAGACTGAGGATAGTTTCTCATTGTTTTCTCTTTAATATTAGACGGAGAATGGTTTCTCGATGTTTTCTTTTTAAGTGTTAGACTGAGGATGATTTCTCATTGTTGTCATTTTTAAGTGTTAGACTGAGGATAGTTTCTCATTGTTGTCATTTTAACAATGCTTCCACGGGCCAATCACTCTGAATTTTGCAGAACCTAATTTTTCAAGTCATTCTGGATCATTATTTTATTGTCTAAAGTTTTTACCAAAACCTGATTGAAGAAAAAGCAGGCATATACCATACCCTTTGTGAGAACCAGATTCACAGCTGGCCACAAAACAGCTATCGACATTCAGTGAGAAAATGTACTGATCTTGTATTGATAAAGCAACATTAATACAGGTAAAGAAGAAAATGTCTTGTAAGTGCAAAGTGCATATGTGAAGTACTTGTGGGAAATGCCCTCGATGTCAATGTGGATGCGACGGTTTAGATCCAGAGGTCAAAATGGCACGAAAAGCAGGTGGGAAACAGCCGCAGAACAAATTAAAGACACGATGAAAGAAACAAAGAAGTATTTATTATGCTATTCCATTGGAGAGCGATGAAGATGAAATGTCTAGTGATAATTCTGAGGATCCCTTGGATTTTGTGACACTGAAGAAACAATGCAGATCAACCAAGAACTCAAGTGTGAAAGCAAGGCATTGTCGTAATACTCCAACAGGGTGCAGGTGGGGATGTTTATTAAATTTGGCAGTTCTTTGGTATCGACATCAAATTTGCCAAATGAAGATTCTTGATGGAAGGCATCAAGTATCAAGTGCTCTTGACAAGAACAATCAAGTGCTTGCATTCTGTGTGACGATATTAAGGATTCTTTGCACCATGTTACTCGCAGGAGATCCAGATGGTCTTATGAACACAGTTGGAAATGAAATTTGTAAGACATCTGATGATACAAAACTATTCTCATCTGCCAATGAAGTGCAACAAGCTCTGCCAGAGAAATGTATTCAGATGAACGTTTTTCACTGCTATGTCAATCAATGACATTCAAAGAAGTGAAAGAGAGATTGAAGAACAAGCTTTTGAAACAGCTAGAACCTACAGTACAATCTGTCCAGCATTACTGTAAGTGAGCTCCTCTGAAAGCTGTAGAGTTCGTCTTGAACCGAGCAATGTGAAAGCTTTATCTTGGGGAACAAAAAAGGTTGAAGTAGATGATAAAACAATTGATTTCCCTTGAATTACTCATCAGAAAATAGCAGAGTTCCTGAATGTAGCAGATAGGATATCATTTGACCAGAAGGCACAAAAGGCTGTTGACTATGCCACTGGTATATTGTTATATGACAGTATTGGTGTTTTGGAACACACTGTCTGTCAATTTTAAGTGAAGACTGTAAAGAAAATATCTGGCAAAAGGCTGACAAGGCCTCAACATTTCTTAAAGTACGATTTTGATGCTCACATTGTAAGTGATTGTGCAACCAGTCACAATATCCACTAATCACTGGCTGTGCAGCTTCTGAAGCAGGTGTTGCTATTTTTAGTAGTTGTCAGAAATGTCCGGTGCTGTTTCATACGATTCATTATTTGCTAAAGCATGCACCTTTAGACTGTCATGGACTGCTGAAGGATTGTGCATACACACTGTTTTTGGCTCATCGTAATCGAGTGGAGAATCAACATCGGAGGATTCAATCAATTCATGATAACCTTACACCCGATGAAGTGCTTATTGTCACGGACTATAAAATGAAGTATGAACCCAAGTATTTCCATGAGAAAACTGTCGAACATTGCAGAAAGAAAGGGCTGAGTTGACATGGAACTCACCCTGTTGATGATTATCACACAGACCTTTCAGGATTTCATATTGAAATCATATTTCCAGTAGTGATTCGCTGCAGGATTGGGTCACTGTCTTCTCACTCTTTGAAGGTATTTTGATGCAAAAGAAAAAGGATCATCCGAATGTTGAGAAATTGTATGCTCAATCGGACAATGCAAAGTGCTATTGGAATGGTTCACTAATACTTGGAATGTTTCTGTTAGCTCACCAGCATGGTTTTGAATAGCACTCATTTGTGCATACCGACACACAAGATGGAAAAGCATTGATGCACATTTTGCCATTACAATGTGTCATGTGTTGAAATATATCAATATGGGGAACAATGTATAATCTCTCCAAGGAAACTCTGCATAGGACTTTAGGGCAATAGTGGACTAGCAAATACCGTGGTGTCTTTGTTCACACTTGATCGTGTGAAAGTATCTGAGCTTCAGGTTGAATAAAAAGAAGTGTTACAGTTCTTTGAGAAGATTTCTCGATGCAATGGGGTGGTGTTTGATGGAGGTAGACTTCATTTTTATGAGTATTCTGGCGTGAACTCTTTCGTAGTTGATTTGAAGGACCCATTTCACCCAGTGTCATCTGTAGGTATGGATGATCAAGAAAATGGTGCTCAAGATGAAAATGCAGAGGATGAAAACTCGGATGGTGAAAGTGATGTAATTGGTGAATTATCCCACTGACACCAAGGTCAAGGCGTTCATATCTACACTGAAAAGAAAGAACAAGAAGGCACACAAATAACCAAGAAAACAACAAACTACGTTTGATCTTAGCCAAGAGGCCGAGAAGGTTAATCAACAACACAACACCACAGGTACATCTTCTAAAGTGGACGTCCACCAAAAAATCTAAGTTTACTACTGTGTACTATGGGAGTCAAACACTTGCAATAGCATCACTATATCTACAAATTTATTTGTAAAACTTTGTGTGGAACTTTAGTTCAACCTGAAAACACTAACAATAGGGTTTTACTTCATTCTGGAATGATGTTATATATCAAGGTCTGCCTTAGAGCCCAAATCTTGGGTGCTTGGCCTGTGGAAGCACTGTTAATATTAAACTGGGGATGGTTTCTCATTGTTGTATCTTTTCTAGTGTTAATCTGAAAAGAGGTTCTTTATGCGTATTGCTGGCATATTGAATTATGTCAGTCTTTGTATCAAAGTTTATTTTAATACTTTGATAACTATTTTTATCATTCAAGTTATCTTGATAAGTAGTGTTTTACAGTATTTTGTTTAGTGTGGGATTATAATTCTGTTAATGTTGATTTTCCTTACTATGAAGTAGGTTTATGTGAAAAGGAAGTAGTCAAGTGTAAATTTAATAGTTTTGTGGGGTTAACATGTGGATAGGTTCAGTATCAGCAGTCCAAATTGAGGAGTCATCAATGTAGAGTTTCAGATGTGTAGTTTTTTAGTGCTTTCCTCTAAGATTTGTATTCATATATTTCTCTAAGTATTGTTTTATACATGATTGTACTGTATATCACACTCACTTATCCAATTTCCAGTCAAGTCTGGCTCAGTCAATTACTTTTTGATTGCTCAGAAGGAATTATTAAACAGATTGACATTTCTAAAATTTCAAGATCTTCATCACATAAAATATTAGTGTAAAGAAATGTCCATTGTAGAGGAAAGAAGTTTTGTTCTTAATGATAAGGACATTGTTTTGTAGGAGTGTGTCCTTTTTCATGCAGTGGTCAGCATAAGCTTTTAACTTTTCAGTTGCCATGTTTTTATTTATTATCAATAAATTTTAAGCCTGGGTTATTTAGATTTTAATATTTTTGCTGAAAGGAAAAATTTCCCTGAGCAAATCTGTTTTCTGTCAAATATTGAGAAGTGTTTTATGTAAATTTAATTGAATTGAAGAAGTTGTTCATATCTATCACTTTTGCAAACTGTTGTAGGATTCTGTGGTATTAGATGTCATCAACTTGGGGATATATGCTGTTGCAAGTGAATGAAGTTTTTCTAAATGTTAATTTTGCCAATTTCTTGTTATGCAGTCGGATATATGAAATCTTGCCACACCGTATCCAGCAGTGGCAAAGTACGCCATGCTGGGCAGAAGAAAGCAATCAGAGAACACTGGAAAGAATTCGAAGAGACCAACAGGAAGCTCGAAGGATTCTCACAGAGCTGGAAAAAAAGGAACAAGAATTAGAGGAACTTATCAAAGATGCCAAGAAGACATCACTAGCTCATGATGATGAGGTACGTTGTTATCCTTATATGAAAATATTAGTGAAATGGCATGTAACTGAAGTCTTTCAGTTGTTTCACATTCAGTTTTACCCTTTAACCCTATCAGAAAGACATACCTCTATTGTAAGTGCTTTGTGTAACTTTTGTGAAATGTCTTTACAGAAATGAAATTAATGGATTAAACTGTTTGAAACTCGACAAGAACCTTCATAAAAGTATGTAGATTCAGAAAAATAGAATATTCAAGTTTGATTTTTTCTGCTATTTCTAATAAAAATTCATTATTTAATATAGTTATATGCACTTGGTCTTTGAATAGTTCACTTGCAAGGTGAAATTCATGTTAAGTATAAAAATACTATTTATTATCTAACAGTTTACACATTTCACTCATATAATCTCTAGAACTTCCTAAATGAATATCAAAAGTTTTTTTTTAAGGCAAATGTTTATATTGTTTATATTTTATTTGCTGTTTTTTTCCATTTGTGTTCTTTATCTTTGTGTCGACACACATCAGTAGGCTCCCATGGGCAATATAACATTAACATAGACAGTGACGGTTCAGCCTCCAGCAAAATGTTGTTTGCTTTGCTAACTTTAAGAAAGCTGGGAGACAAAGCATAGAATAATTTAAAAAATCATTAATCCCTTCGAATATGAATTTTAAAATACAACTAATACATAATTAACTAAAATATAAAAATAAGCCCTAAATGCCATTTAGCTGTCTATCAAACTAATATGTATAAGGCAAGAAAAAATAACTAAATGCTAGTAACACTGCTCTCAACAATGGACATCACCCAACTTTCCTCTGCTTTTTACAACATATGATGTAAAATCTGCTCTTTCATAGGTTAGAAGCATGCCATTCAAGTTAAAACTGTTGCTTAGAAACACAGCATCTACTTTTCAAGTGGGTGTGGCTTATTTTGAACTGAGGAATGTATACAATAGTTTCCTCCAGGACAAATTCTTGGATTGTACCCAAATTACTGGTAAACAATTTATACATGTATATTTTGAACATTTGCACAAAAATGTCTACATTACACACACAGTTTCTTCTATAACACCTCTTAAAGTTTATAACTGCAAGCACATCATGTGACAACAAAAACTAGTTTTAATTGTTCATTATGATATTTCTTTTGAAATAAGGGAATAAAAACTTGTATAAAACTTTGAATTATTATGTAAAAATGGTTCCATCCAGATAGGGGTAATACGTGAATTATACCTCGAGATGTAATAGTCACAGAGTTTCTTGATTAGCATAGTCTTTTAATCAAGTAACAACATACATTTTTTAAAGAAATTAATGAAAATAACTTTCAGTCAGAGTAAGCTGAATACTTAGTACAACGTGTACATTAATATAGCTAATTAACTACTTACAAGTATTATTAAATACACTCTGAATTATAGCAAAATACTGGTCTGAGAGAGAAATTTTCTGAATTTATAAATGTAGAATATTAAGTTTCATTAATCTTACAGCTAGGGAACATCAATAATAGCCAAGCAATATATCTGACTGAGAAACAGTAAGGAGAAAATTTGTTGATTAGAATTTATCTTAAAAGGAATTTCCACTTAACTCGTGATGTTCCATAAAATAAGGAAACTGACATCAAATCAAAAATACACGTAATGTCAAAAAACTTCAGTAGAGTTTTTATTTATATATATATACATAGATGCCAAACACGTCACTATTAGTACATTAACTGAATATATATACATATATATATATATATATATAGATGCCAAACATGTCACTTTCTAACAACGTTAAGACGGCTTATCGACTTCTTGAGAAGAATT